CGACGCTTACCGACGCTTGCCAACGTTTACCAACGTTGGGCCAACGTCGCTTTGCTAGCTGGGTACAGTTGCTCAGTAACACAAGGTCGTAAGTGAGATTCATTTACTATTAAATACAAGGTCGTAAGTAAAGAGACTGGGCATGCCCAGTACCTTCAGAAGCCATGCCTAACTCACGAAAGTTGGTTCCTTTAAAAGAAGCTATTGAAATAATCAATGAATCAGATGATTCAAATTATTTTTATTCATCGGAAGATGAATAAACCGTCCGACCTAGCATCCGAATCTAGCAATAGCCAAAGTGACAGTGGTAAGTAAACAAATTCTAGGCCCTGGGCCGTACTAGTTAAAAGTAATGCCTGACCTAGGCCTAGATAGGCCTAGACCTAGACTTGTTTTAATCATAGATAGGACTAGGAGGCCTATGCTAGGGGGCCTAGGCTAGTGGGCCTAGGCTAGTGGGCCTATGATAGTGGGTCTAAGCAGGAGGCCTAGGCTAAGTCAGTTGCTGTGGTAGTACAATACTGGTTCACTTTCATAATATGGTTAAAGTATAGAGTAAAGAAGAAATAATTTATTAATGATAATAATATTTAAATTAAATTATTTTATTATTATTATTATTATTATAATTTATATTTATTATTATTGTTGTTATTAATATTATATATTGTTGATATTACCTAATTAGTATTAAGAATAATTAAATATAAATTAATTATAATTATTATAAATTATTTTTTTAAATTTTTGTTTTTAATTATGCCACAGTAGTATGCCTTAGCTAAGCTATATTATTTATTATTAATGTACGAATTATTATTAATTGTTATTGAGGGTCCTAAATGATCAGAAGTTGTTGGATGGTTTATTCTCACATAATATATAAATAAAATATTATTTATTAATATTATTTATTGTTATATTTATTACCTAATATTTATTGCTTAATAATGTTTATTGATCCTAAATGATCAGAGGTTGTTGGATGGTTCACTTTCACAAAATATATAAATTATTATTTATTAATATCATTTATTGTTATCGTTATTACCTTATTATTATTATTATTATTATTATTATTTTATTATTATTATTATTATTATTATTATTATTATTATTATTATTATTATTATTATTTCTAATAATAGACATTACTATAAATTAAGGTTTATTATTAATCAATTATTATTTATTGATCCTAAATGATCAGAGGTTGTTGGCTAGTTCACTTTCACAAAATATATAAATTAATATTTATTAATATCATTTATTGTTATCTTTATTACCTAATTATTATTAATATTATTATTATTATATTATTATTATTATATTATAATTATTATTAATTATTTCTAATAATAGACATTACTATAAATTAATGTTTATTATTAATCAATTATTATTTATTGATCCTAAATGATCTCTCACAAAATATATAAATTATTATGTATTAATATCATTTATTGTTATCTTTATTACTTAATTATTTTTATTATTATTATTAATTATTTCTAATAATAGACATTACTATTATTTATTGATCCTAAATGATCAGAGGTTGTTGGCTGGTTCACTTTCACAAAATATATAAATTATAATTTATTAATATCATTTATTGTTATCTGTATTACCTAATTATAATTATTATTATTAATTATTGCTAATAATAGACATTACTATAAATTAATGTTTATTATTAATCAATTATTATTTATTATTGAATATAGGCGATGAAGCAGGACCGATTATAGGCGATGAAGCCGAGGCGAATATAGGCAATGAAGTAGTACTCAATGTAGGCAATGAAACCAAGTCACATATACAAGATGAAGCAGGACCGAATGTAGGGGATAGAGCCAATCCAAATATAGGCGATGAAGCAGGACTGAATGTAGGCGACAAAGCAGAGCCAAATATAGGAGATGAAGCAGGACCGAATGTAGGCTATGCAGCAAGGGAGAATGATGGAGCAAAAGAAAATATCGGTGGTGTAGTACAACCCAATAGGGGTAATGGGGAGGAAAAGAGACGTAGTAGAAAAAGGCAGAGAAATGAATTTGAATGGAAGCAGAATGTACTAAAGTGGGCACGAAACAAAGGATTAGAATATACAACCAGAAAGGGGAAAGTAGTTCAGGCAAGGAAGATCATCTATCACCGCTGTGGTAGATGCGTCAACAAATGCAATATTGTACTTTCAGATGACGACAGGGACACCATTTTTCGAAATTACTGGATCATGGGAGACAGACAACGACAGAGAGATTATATTGCTAATCATGTGTGTGTGAAGAAAAACAGCCGTAAAACACCAGGCAGTAGGCGCAACATGACCCTTCATTACTATTTCACTGTTAGGGACAAGAGGGTCAAAGTTTGCAAGGCTGTATTTTTAAAGACATTGTGTATTGGAGAAAAAACTGTGACTTACACTATTAGCCACAGGTCCGAAACAGGACAGTCTGCAAAAGATGGGAGGTGCAGCAAACCACCTGGTATTAAGAAACCTGATCTACTGCGAGATACAGTTAAGTCACACATAAATTCCTTCCCTGCCCTAGCCTCCCACTATGCAAGGAGTGGGACAACTGGAAAATACCTAGATCATAACCTTAATATAAGAAAAATGCATTCCCTTTATATGGAAAATTATGAAGGTGATAGAACAAAACAGGTTAAAGAATCGTACTACAGGTCAGTTTTCGTGTCAGAATTCAATTTATTTTTTCATAAGCCTAAAAAAGACAAATGTAGTTTCTGCGTTAGCTATGAAAACTCTAGTCATGAGGAAAAGCAAGCTCAACAAGCCGATTACGATGCCCATCATCAGAGGAAAAACAGAGTTCGACAGTTAAAACTTGAATTTAAAGAACTTTCCAAATCTGATAATGCTGTTGTGTCTCTAACATTCAGATTTGATTTGGAACAAGTATTGCTTTCCCCTAAAATGAATGTATCAGCACTGTTTTATCGCCGAAAACTTGCTACATATAATCTCACTACATATGATCTTGACAGCCACAACGTAAACTGCTTCATGTGGCACGAGGGAGTCGGAGAAAGAGGTAGCAGCGAAATTGCTACATGCATGTATCAGTATTTGAAATCTCTCCCGGCTAAGGTAACACGTGTTATTTTCTTTTCAGACACATGTTCTGGACAAAATAGAAACCAGTACTTTTCCTCAATGTGCCTAAATGTAGTACGTTATACGTAGATTACCTGCATCCATCACCTCTATATGGAGTCGGGGCATTCACAGATGGAGTGTGACTCTGCACACTCAATGATGACAGCGATTAAGAACCAGAATGTTTACAGCCCTGGAGATTATTACTGCATTGTGGCCATGGCAAGGCAACGCAATCCATTCTCAGTGAAAATCCTTTCCACAGAGGAATTTATTGATTTCAAGATCCTTGGAAAGTCGATAATAAGAAACCGCACTAAAGATGTAAATGGAGGCACTGTCAACTGGCTGAAAATGAAATGGATGCGTTATCTCAAAGATAACCCAGATACAATTCACTTTAAGTACAACTATGATGATGTTTAGCAAACTACGTGTCAACGTTAGTGTCTGTGGTCGGCCTTCAAATTCGTCAAATGCATTCATGCCCAAGTTCAGTGAACTCCCAGCTATCACAAAGGCAAAGTATGATGATCTTATGTATCTGTGCAAATCTCTAGCCATTCCAAGGTTTTACCATGATTTCTACAAAGGTCTGAAATATGATGGAAATATCCGAGATGCTTTGCCAGAACCAGATGCAACAGAAAATGATGAGATTTTTGTATAGTAAACATTATTTAAAGATCTATCAGTTTCATAATTGATCCAATTTTAGTTGCAGGTCTGTTGTGGCAATGTAAGCAGCTGTTGTATTTTTTTTTATTTTTAGATAAAATATAATATTAAGGATAATGATATTTATAATAATAATAGTACTAATAATTATAAATATATATAATAATAATAATAATAATAATAATTTTTCATTATAATAATAATTTCATAAAATAATGTTGGTATCTCTCAATTACTAAATTTTACTGTAAGTTCAAGCACTTAGTTAGAAAAGGAATGGATGAGTTTTGATATATCTGTTGGCTTTACATTATTTTGATATCTCTGTATTGCTTAAATTTTTTTTAATGACATAAGCGTGCGTTGACGGAGCTTCATATTTGGCACATTTTTTGGCAAAAGATGAGCATAAATACTGTGCGTTAGCGTTTGTTAGCCCAGAGACGACAAAGCTTTTCATATCATTCATGTTCATATGAACGTTTATATCCATATATGATACAAATAGCACGTTTTTGGACTTTCTCCAGCCGCTCACCTTGACCAGCAGTTAAGCTGCCGTACCACACTGGAGTGGCATATGCAAATGCAGGACTGAAGTAACCATTATATACGGCTATTAAGTCATCTACTGCTACTTCAAATTTCTTTAGGCGAATAACAGAAATAACCTATGGCTACTATTGGAACCATGTCATCCACCTGTAGATCCCATTTTTAGGTTAGACTGTATTCTTAGGCATAAAATCGTGGTATCCGTTATTTCTACTAATACTGTAGGCTGCAGGTGGGGGTGGATGCTTCTTGAAACATACCTGCATTGCACTAACACTTATTAGGGATAAATTAAGACAACTATCCTCGGACCACTTTTCAGGATTTATAATATAATTTTCGAAAACATCTCATGCACCCGATGGACGGACTTGTACAAAGCTTAGGTCATCAACGAGTTTGAACTTATTGGCTGTTGTATTTTCTAAAGCACGTTGATCATACTCATAAATATTAGTGGGCCTATAGCTTAGTTCTTTGTGGAACTCCACAGGTTAGAGACTTCCAATAAGATACAGAAGATTTATACTGATCCGGTTGGAGGCGGTCTGTTAAAAAGTCTAAAATCCAAAGTACAATTTTACCTCGTACTCCTAGTTTTAAAAGTCTATGAATGACCAGAGTATGAACAATACAATCAAATGCCTTGCTAAAATCTGTTACAATCAGAGTACCTAGTGCACCAGTATCGTCAGTACCTTTATGTAGTACAATAAGAAGAACAATCAGGCAGTGGCTAGTAGATAAATCTTTAATATTTCCGTATTGATGACGGTCACCTATAGCATTTATTATGTCACTTCGAGCCCAGTTATACACAATGCTTCCACATACCTTAGCTAGTTGAGAAATTAATGAAAGTCGGCAATGGGGACGCTAAATTCACATGCAAATTCCTTTATTACTTTGGTGGGGAGTTCACCTTGTAAACATGCCTTATTAGGGTTCAACTTCAACGGCGGCGAAAGCGGGGGAACCGGGGGCATTGGCCCACCCACTTTTTCTACTGGGGGGGGGGGGCCTGCCCTTCCCCCACCCACTTTTTTTTACTGTTCCCGGCACCAGTTGAGTTATTATTATTATTATTATTACTATTATCATTATTATTATTATTTCGTGCTTACACCTTGTTTATTTGCGCCTTATAAATTGACCCATTATTATTATTATTATTATTATTATTATTATTATTATTATTATTATAAAATAGATTTTATTGTTTTAGTTTTTTTAACGAACATTACAAGCTCCCTTTTTGAGCTGAGCATCCAAAAAATCGCCTGCATTCGTGAATTTGTATTTAGGCAAATGGAGCGACGTTCTAGTCCTCTTTATGCTAACTACGATGATGTATAGTAAGTGTAACTGATTGGCTTACAGTAAACCTTCAAACTAGCGTAATATAACCACAAACTCCATCTAATTTAACGAAAACAATAAGATACTTAATTAAGCCATTTTTAAAAATAAGGTTAACTACAGAATTTACAACACTGTAGTTAATGTGTTATAGGCTTTAAAAACTGTATTGAGTAAAAAAAAATCTTTCAAATAAAAAAATCTTTCGCTTGACATTATGAATTAATCATTTGTGAAACAAAATGATAGGCTATGTCAAGTGTTATATTGAACAGTGGCAGACTCAAGGGGAAACCCAGTCAACACACGACACCATCCTATTTTTTTTTTCAAAATTATTTAAAAAAAAAGAAGAAAACAAACAAAATAGTATTCAACATTTAATCTGAGAGTGCCATTTCCGGCCATCTAGAGGTGCCATAATCATAATTTTGTGGGGCTGAGGCGGGTGGACATTCTATTTACGCAAAACTCTCCTTTGAACCCCTCTATTTCGACTTCCTGGACCCGCCACAGTTGGAGTATCATTTCCGAGCTACATAGAAGGGTAATTTTTATCCATCGGGGGAAAAGTGAAGTTTTCGTCGGTGAACCCATATCAAGGATAACCCTCATAATGAATAGTTCATTGAGGTCGTGTTCTTTTTTTTTTTAATGGAGATATAAGGAAAATTATATTAAAATTTTAAGAGTGTATTTTCCGGCCATCTAGAGGTACCATAATCACAAATGTTTCTCAATCTGCTCCAAGTACCCAGTGGCGGATTCATGGGGACCCAGCCGGGCCGACCCGACCCTCCTAAATTGTTCAATAAAAAATGGAGATATAAAGATTATTATATACAAATTTTTTGTCTGGAAGTGCAATTTTCGGCCATCTAGATGTGCCATAATCACACCTTTTCTTGCCTCATCCCAACCATGGTGAGGCAAACGTAGTATAGATCTATCTGTGAAAGTACCCTCACTGGGCCTTTCTTTTTCGAATTCCTGGATCCGCCACTGGAAATTACAACAAATATGAAATCATATTACAATAGATGCCTATAAAATAACTTATAAAATTCACCAAACTTCGTAAAATATCCGTTGCCCCGGGGCCCTTGCCGGCCCCTGTCCCCCAGCCTAGATGCTCGCTTCGCTCGCAAACTCGATCTTATGAAATGCACCCCCCCCCCACACTTTCAAAAACGTTCCGCCGCCGTTGTTCAACTTACTTAACTCATAATACATTTAACATAGTAAGACTTGAGGAGGGAATATAACAGGTAAGTCTGTTACATCAATAGGGGGTCTACTTTGAGATACACGTGCAAATTGTTCAATTATTTTTTTTTTTTTTTTTTTTTTTTTTTTTTTTTAGCTTATTATTATTAGTTGTCTGTATGCCCCTGTGCCATCCCATCAGTGGATCAGTGGATTTAAGTTTCTCAATGCAATTGTTGCTTTCATGGCAGTGGGCAATTTTATAGAATTACTTTGTTTCGTAGGGGGTGCCATTTGATATTATTGTGTAGAGTTCAGAGTTGCGACATGAGCGGTTCAGGTCACGTGACTACTGACCGCCCTCTATCTGCCATCTTGGTGCCCCATTGATCAAGTCAATGGTGCGTAGCCAACAGAAATAAGATAGGCTTCGGGGCAAAATTATTGAACTCGTGTTACTTAAAAATCCATAACGTAACGATGAATCGTATCACATTATTTTTTTCTGGAAATGTTCTTAAAAGACTATTCTACACCACTATTATAAGTTTTAAGAAACTGCAGTACAGTACGTAGGTAGGGTAGTACTCTAGGCCTTGCTAGCTATAAAAGTAGCGTAGTACTTTTTCATTTAGCGTATGATTTACGGATTTCTCTTATTATATATTACTAGTTATTTTGGAGATACCATCGGACTGGGACCCTAGCTGAGGCGTGCCACAAACACCCATTTACTATACGAATTTGTAAGTTGTCCAGTGAAAAGGCCTAGGCCCTGTCGCCTACTATTTTATGGGCCGAGCAAAGCGATGTTGTACGCCTAGCTAAGGCGCTATGAAATTTTGATCAAGCAAAATCTGCATGTAATATAATAATTAATAACAGCAGATTGAGAATCAACATCTTTTGGAATTTTTTTATAAATTTTCAAACACATGTTGATTAACAGATATATACTATCAAATGACGTAAAATTTTCTTATAATAATTTTTTTTTTTTTCAATTGTCTATTATTTTTGCAATCGCCACATTGTAACATAGGCTTTGTGGTCACTCATGAATGCAAGGCACCAAGATGGATACCCAGCAGCGTCTCATGTCGCAATTCTTTCTATATAGGAACTCTATTATTGTCTAAAAAGTTTTTTTGAAGTTTCTTAATTAATAACGTTTAATCTCGTGTGATCCACGCCTTATCTATTGGATGCAACTTAACAGATCTGATTAGAAAATGTAGACTAATGGCTTTAACAATGTTCGAATAAAAAGAGCCCGTTTTATCTTGTAAACATCTCATCCCAGGTGTGCGAGTAATCGATCCACCTACCAAACTCGTATAGATTGTGCTTAAATACCCGTCTATAGTTGCAGTTCCTAACACTACCGGCTTGACTAATTGAATTATTCGATACCCAATACATAGTGTTATGGCCACTTTTCCCAGTGGGGAACTTATTATAGGTACGTTAAATAATTTTGAAATGAAATGTTGGTAAGTATTAGATCTAATATGGCATCTTTGCGTGTGTTTTCGTTTACAACCTGCAGTAAAACACCCAATATACTACAGCACAGATCTCAGGATGCCTGGTCTTTACAGGGACGTATCCAGGATTTTGAAAGATGGGGGAGCGTTTATGCGAGGTACGTGTGACCCTGGGGGTCCAGGGGCGAAGCCCTCTGGAAAATAACGCGCTCTAAATGGTTTTGGGACTGTTTTGAGATGATAAAGTGAAAATTGCAATAAACGCATCATAGTAATTTTAGTAAGCCTAACAATTATTATATAAAACTCAACAGTGGTGGATCCAGGAATTCAAAAGAGAGGTGACCAGGACTTTTACAGATTATGGAACCATCCACCACAGCTCCACCATGGGGGCTGGGGTAAGAAAATTATGATTAGGATTAGATGGCTGGAAATTACACTTAAATTTGGATAGGAGCCCTTTTCTTTTTTTAATCCATTAAAACAATTTAGGGGGGAAGTGGGCCTTGAATCCACCACTGCTCAAAACATTCTTTATCTAAAATAGTCATAATCGCGAAAAATGGACATGTAAAACCAGATTGTCAAATAATTGCATCCTAAAAACAGATGTATGCATTCTCGCCTCATCAGCAGTCACTAAGACATATTCTGAGTCTGGTGTCAACGCAATGGAGTTCAATGTCATACACAGGAAGGGCGCAATATTTTTTTAAAGGCGGAGGTTGGAGGGAGGGGGTGGGGGAGACATTGAAAAAAAGACAAGTAGCTTTGGCTTGAACGTACGGTACATAGCAGTTCCATTGTTGTCTTTTGGTCAAAGACAATTTATTCACCGCGGTTGAGCTGTGTTACAAGAGATATAGCGAATCTCCAAAAGGGCTTTAAAATATGAGTTGACAATTGTAGATAAAAGTTCTAGTGATTTATAAGGTGCCACACCTTATCACAGACTCAACATTTTTGGATAAATACAAAATACCAAGACCACAAAACAAAAATCGACAAACTAAACAATCAACTAACAGTCAAATTTATGGCCGTACGGCAGATTGAAGCGCCCTCAAATAGTAACATTAATAATAATTCATCATCATCACCATTATCATCATTAATCATCGTCAATAATAATGATAATAATAATTAATATCAATTATAATAATAACACCGATAAAAATATTAATATTAATAATCATAAATATTGATATACAATAACAACAAATATATTGAAACTAACAGTAATAATACTAATTTCAATATTAACAATTCAAGATTCAAGATTTATTTTCGACATACATAGTACATATATACGAGATTTGTTTCTTTGAGTTGATAATAAACAGTGGAAATCGATTACTCTCACACTATAAAATACCAGACAACACTTAACAGATGTAATATTAAATATGAATATAAAAATATATTACACACGGAATTAACAAGGCTGAACTATATTGTGAGGTCCAGGAGAGGAATATGGCATGGAATCTAATACAGTAGATAAGCTTGATGATGAGATTATCTACTGAATTGTTCGTAAAAAGACTCTTACTGCACATGGTAAAAATGAGTATTTATGACGGTTGGTACATTTTAAAGTTGGAATTATTCTGCCAGATTTACTAATTGTTATGAACTTATTAAGTGGGTGAGTTTGGTCATTCGCTAAGTCCTTAATTTTATTAAGTAAGGCACCTTCACATAAACAACTTAAGCCATTGACCTCCGTACCTATTATTTTACTTGCTAACCGTGTTAGCCTACTGAGACACTCAGTCCGATGAAACTAAAAACTTATTGTATCATGCTTCAGTTTTTAGTTTCTGTAGTATCATCTGGATATCAATAATAGGATAATGATAATGATGGTACTAATAATCACAGTAATAATAATAATAATACTAATAGTAAAAATAATAACACGCATAATAATTAATATTCGTAAAAAATGTGATAGCAATTTAATGAACGTGTATGTTAATATGACAATTAAAAGACAAATTCATGTTGTTAATGAAAACAGTATCGACGAGGAAAAGAAAAAAAATATAAAGCTGAACATTTCTTTAAACACTTTTGTGAATATATCAATATATATCATTAATATATTAATATTTCCTTGGTTTTCAGATGGTTATTATATACATGTAGGATCTAACAATGACATCAGAACGATGTACATTCCAACAGTGCCAGCTACTTGGAGTGATTTTTGTCTGACATTTTACTATTATATAAGTGGACGTTCAGATCTAGCCATCGAACAATATGATAACATTGCATCCAATTATAGGAGAGTACTCTTCATTAGTGAGAACATCGGGCAATGGAAGTATATCAGCTTACAATTAATTAACAGTCACAGATACCTGGAATTAGTAGGAAGAGCCTCAAACGGAAAGGTAGCAGTCGATAATATTTGTAACAGTAAAGGGCTTTGTGTTGAAAATAAAGGTAAGATTTTATTTGTTTATGTTAAGTACTTTTACTTAGATTTGATCAATTTTATTGTGAGGAAAGATATTATTTATTGTTTATTATTGTGCAAGATTGTACAACCACAAACTGTTTACTATTTCTATTTTTTCTTTTTTTCTGGGGGGGGGGGGGATGATTATGTGTATAAGAGACAGGGATGATTTCATTTGTTTAACTAGTGTAAGAAACATGTAACATACATGCAATTTTTTTAGATGAACTTCGGCTATCCATTATCAAGGGCGTATCTCACCACGTATAGAGGTGTTGACCAGCATTAAGATTCAATGCTTGAGAAAAGATAATCGAAGTACATCGGAAACGTTGCAGATATATGTGTTTAGCTCCGATGAGGAGCTCTATAAACACTCGATTTATTTTATTAATACATCTGTTTTAGATCTACTGCCTCTATTTTACTACCCTCATCTCATGAGGCTGATTGATTCATAGCTGATTGATTAATAGATCTCTTTAAATCTACTGCATCTATTATACTGCCCTCACGAGGAACTCTAGAAACATTGGGCTAATTAATTAATAGTTGATTAATTATTAGATTTTTTTACTCTACTGCCTCTACTATAACTGCCCTTATCGGAGCTTTCGAGGTTACGAGAACTTGTTTATACTGGTGAAACAAAAGCAAATTATCCAAAAAATTATTCTAAAACCAGATTTATTTAAAGTCCTGAGTTATACATTCTTGATGACAGGTTTATAATTACGGAATTATAGCAGTCGATAATGTTTGTATCAGTAAAAGGACCTTTGATCTAGCAGGATTCTCCCATAAAAACACCTAGCTAAAAGCCGATCTTGCACACGTTTTTCTTTTTCCTGTAATTCTTTTTATTTCGACATGTTCACGCAACCGTCTGTGAATCCCGATAGATCTGTGAGCCTGCAAAAGGCCTAAAATCAGAGTGAAGTTAAACGGTAGTAGTTTTGTTAGTTCCATGCACCCTCGTTTACAGCAGGCATTGGAGAGAGCAAATAGACGGTGTAGACCAATTACCATTGAATGAGTAATCACGGTAGCTGGGGTTTTTACATTTCGTAATTATTACCATGGGGTCCATTCAATTAACATTTTTGGACCATATCCAAAATGTGCCTTGAGGCCAGACGATGCTTCATCCGGCACTGACCATTCCCCACCCCTTGTCAAATATTTGGGGGATATATCCCCCATCCCCCCGGGATCTACACCTATGCTATGTCTTCTTCTGTTTGTCTCAAGGGTGGTGTCCCACAAGGGACTAAGCTCGGACTTTTAGCTTTTCAGATTATGATCACTGATGCTGCAATGGGTTCTAAAAACCAAATACGGTACTTTAAATACGTTGATGTCTCCTTTTTAGGAAAATCGACTTTTATCACAAGAAGGCTTCTTACAGAATGACCTTAATCAATTTCATGAATGGTGTATTGATAATTCTCTGCTTTTAAATCCTAGTACTGTAAATGTAAAGCTATGCAAATATGCTTTGCTATGTGTACTATAATTCCTGAACAAAGTTTTTACATTGGTGAATCCCATATTGATTTTTGTGAAGAGGCTTTAATTTTAGGCGTCGCTGTACTGAATGATTTAAAATATTGTTGCCATATTGATAACATTACTGCTAAGGCTAACAGGAAAATTTTCATTTTTAACAATCTTAAAAAATTTGGGCTGAGCACAGTTGCACTTTGTGCTATTTATACTGGATACATAAGACCTGTCCTCGAATATGCTGATGTGATATGGCACCCTGGAATCACTAAAACACTTAGTGCAAAACTTTAGGCTACTAAGAAGCGTGCTTGCCGTATTATTTTAGGAAAGGACTATCAGGCCTATGAACATTCTAGATCTCTTTGTAATCTGGATCCCCTCTATGAGAGGAGAGTAGCCCACTGCCTCAAATTTGCTAAGGCCTTTCTCTTACTAATCATTCTGCTGATCTGATCCCCCTCCCCACCCGACAACAATCTCATGGTAGAAGTCTACGCAATGGAAGTAATTTTTCACAGCTTAAATGCAAAACCAAAATATTTTCTAATAGTCCCCATACCATACTACATTCAAATACTTAATATCACATAATCCCCCTCCCCCCATTAGTCTTCCTGGCGATTGAGGGACTGGCTGCTCCCCTCTCTTAGAACTATGTAGTTGTTCCACTTGTACGTCTTTTTTTTTTTTTTTTACATTTTGATTTTCTTTTTTTGTGTGTGTGGATTTTGTATGTGACCTTTTGTTCCTTGTAAAAGTTGCTGCCAATTCGGGCTTTGGCCACGATCTGTAACTTGTTTTTAATGTCGATATGAATATGAAATAAAGTAAATAATAACAAATTGCAACTTATTTGACATTACAAGTTATTTTAGTTTTAAAATATGCATATGGTTTATTTTGATTTAATTTTTGCTATTTAATTATTTAAGTAGTTTGGCGATTTTAATGAATTTTATCATAATGATTTAATTAATGAATTTTTGCTATTTTACAGCATTTAAATAGTTTAAAAATTCATTTAAAAAGAAATCAAATTTTAAAATTGGGGCCATTTTTTATTTATTGATTAATTCTTGCTACTTTACAGTATTTAAATATTTGAAAAAAAAAATCATTTTTATTACTCAATTTTATCATTGGGTCATTTTTACCTACCTGTCATTTGGGGTCATTTTTACCCGGGCCATTTCTACCGGGGCCATTCTTACCCGGGCAATTCTTACTGGGGCCATTTTTACCGGGGCCATTTTTACCGCACACCATTCAGAACACCCAACAAATAATAAAAAAAAAAAATTATACCATATGTTCAATAATGTAAACTCTACAATATTTATTGCTCTATAGGAAAATACAGTTACAGAATTATTCATTGCAACAGCTAACTAAAATACGATAACACAATTTATACATAGGATAAATTTAAAAGTAGCTAAATACACAAATTGAATAAGCTACAGAAGTTGCGGCGTATTTTTTATAGGAAATATTTCTGGTCTGTTAATGGAATGACCTGTATGAAGCACGAGCTCCTGTAGACCAAACCTAGTATAATATTCTCAAGATGCCGTTTTATATACTACCTAGATAAGAAAGTTGAAAATATTTGCATAAAAATAATAATGGGGAGGAGGAGGGTGAGGATGATGATGACGATGACAATGACAATGACGACGACGATGATGATGATGACAATGATGATAAGGCAAAATAATTAAAATAAATTGTTTGTTTGCCCTTCTTTTAAAAAAAATGATAAATAGGGACGAGTGGAAAAAGTTTTTTTTATTTATATATTTTTTTAAATACTCATCAGATGATACAAAAATAACACACAGATGTCTAGAATGGCATATTCTTACATCAGCCAACAAGTTTAGACTAATTTGTAGGGCATCTGGCAAAGAATAAAGATAAATTCACTCACATTTTTTTTAATTTGTAAAGAAAAAAGCAAAAAAAACTTCTTTTTTTTCGCCCCTATTTTTTCAGTGAGTTAAGTGCGAGTGGAGGGGGGAAAACAAAAATTTTTGGCCTAATAATTATCCATTTTAATTCACTTAATTCATTCTCTTCTATAGAAACAACTGCAATGACATGCCCATCTAACGTGACTGTGGAGACCGACACTGGAGCGGCCACGGCTTCAGTTAACTATTCTAGTGCAATTCATACCAACTGTGTTAACGATTCAGTGATCTCTCCCGATCCTACTCAGATCTTTCCAGCTCATCTTGGGATTGGAGTTGAACAATTCACCTTCATAGCTACAGATTCGTCGAGAAATAATCATACTTGTACGTTTACAGTAACGGTTAATGGTTAGTAATTACGTATCATTAAAAATACATGTGTCATGTAATATATATATATATATATATACATACACACATATATACATACACACATTTATACATACACACACATATCTACATACACACACACATATATACATACACACATATATATACATACACACACACATATATATATACATATATACACACACATATATATACATATACATATTGTTACGTTACGGCTATCACAGGTAGGAAATTATCGGTCAGATCTACCCCTGGGAGTGATTTATTTCTTGTACTCATGGATCGAGTAACAACACACATGGGCAACAATGAGTCAAAATGATCTGGTTGATCAATAAGAGGCGTTGTAGATAAAACTGGGTCTACTCTAACTTTAGCCCCTGCTAAATCGTTACCCAATTAGAAGGTGATCCCTTCAAAAGAAACTTCTTTACGAACTCCTACTTTAACTAGCCCTGTAACTAACTCTGAATTTTAAAATACATGGTGTAAAGGGACATTAAAATAGCCTAATTCAATTCCCTGTAAAAGTACTCTACTACCCGATGAAGTCTTCTTGGATAAAGGCAGAACCCCTTCCAAAATTAAGGATTGTGAAGCGCCAGTATCGCGTAGTATTCTCACAGGTTACTACCAGAGTCCCCATTTATGGAAATAGAACCATGTGAAATGAATGGTGAATACTCACTCATTTTAGGGCTTAAAAGGATATTATCCTCATTAATGACATTAATTTTGTCAGTTTTCAAATTGGTTCCCCCAAAGGATTACCAATAAAGCCAGTCGGTTTTGACTCAGGCTTAGTATTCGCTTCTTTACGTTTTAGCGAATAACATTCAGACATAATATGTCCTACTTTTTTTACAATAGTTACATCGCAAACTTGCATTTTTATCCCGTGGATACAGGTTTTTGGTCCCCTGACCCTTTACCAGTTGGTTTTGAGGGGTTGGGGCCAGCCCCCACCTTACTACCACAAGAGGGTGAAGGCGAAAAGGGTTTACCTTGTGTAAAAGTCCCTTTGTGGGTTAAGGCATAGTCATCTGACAAAACGGCTGCATCCTTAAGGGTTTTGGCCTTCTTTTCATCTAAATACGTTTTAATCGCTGGATGCACACACTGTTTAAATTGTTCGACAAGGGTCAATTCCCTAAGTAATTTATAATCTTTGTTAATTTCTTCTGAGGTGCACCAGCGATCGAACAGATTTTCCTGTTCGCGCGCAAATTCCATGTAGGTTTGATTACCACTATTGCGGTAACTGCGGAATTTTTGCCGATAGGCTTCTGGAACAAGCTCATATCTTTAAGATTGCTCTTTTAACAATATCGTAGTCACTAATTTCGGTTGTATTTAAAGAGGCATAAATATCACGAGCTTTTCCAGTCAATACACTCTGTAGGAGAAGTGTATATTTATCTTTTGGCCATCCTATGGACTGACCAATTTTTTCAAAATGCTGAAAATATTTGTCGACTTCAAATTCTTTAAATGGTGGGACTAAACGACTATCTTTACTAACATCAAACTTGGGCTCTGCTTTGTCCCTAGATTTAAGTTCCATTTCCTTAATTTAAAATTGGAGATCTAACTCCATTTTAAGCTTTTCCTTTTCCAGTTCTAGCCTATTTCTTTCGGCAGTTAACTCTTGCTCTAGCTTATTTTTCTCGGCATATAGCTCTTGCTCTAGCTTATTTTTCTCTGCATTTAGCTCTAGATCCCTAGCCTGTAATTGTAACTTCATTTTTTGTAATTCTAACTCTAGGGATGGTGGTCCACCTATTTCCTCTAAATGTTGAAGAGCCTCCTCTTCAAAAATATCGTTATCCACAAGGGACTCGATAATTATATTCCGTAGCTGTGCTTTGCGCAACTTTGGATCCCCAACTAAGTTATAATGCTTAATTATTTCAGGAAGGTCTAATTTTCTACATTTTTCAAGAACGTCCAGAGAAGGCGATTCAGTAAACTCTGCCAACACAAAAGCCATGGTGCTTAAATTTGAAAATTTAAAAAAAATATTAAAAATGGAAAGAACATAAACCAAATGGTTAATTCATGAGCCAATTAAAAATGTTCTGTCTCCGAACGAGCCCCCACTTTCTGTTACGTTACGGCTCAGAATAATTAACAGAGAAGAGATCACAACTTTTGTGTATTTACAAAATATATATAATTTATTTACAATGTCATTATAATACGGTAATTAAACAAAGATAGAAATTAAACATATAAATGAGCTTAGAGGATGGTGGTGGCTAGAACCTTAAGCAGCAACTTAAGTACTTTACTTACAGATCAGAGAGGAACTGAAGCCGGACAAAATAACAGGGTTCCAGGTAGTAAAGATGTCTTGAGTTGTCTGCACTGGATCCCAAATTACAACTGAATTACTTAGGGTAGTAAGATCATTTAAGATGGGTGTGACACTTTGCACCAATTCCAACAAGTTTAGCAAACTAATCCACCATTAAAAGCTACAGTAAAGTGTCCGATAAACATATACATAATTAAAGTAATAAATAATTGGTTTGGACCAACTGAAAGTAAATGTCCAGGATGTGAAACCGAATTCAAGTCTTGGAGATTCCAAGGTCAGTTCATTTACCTTGCGTGCGTTTAATTAAATACTGACCACGGGTAAAGGAACTTGTGTGTCATAGGACAATAGCATACTGTAGGATAATAATATTTATGAGCTTTACAAAGTAAAACAAATTAAAATAAGGAAATAGTACTTTCTTAGAAAATGTTGAGTAAAACTTAAGGTCATAAAAATGCTAACTACAAAATATTATATTATATAATTTTATAAAGAAGTTAATTAAAACTAGGCAAGGATGTAACAATATATAATATACGACAGTATTTCTAGCCGTATTACCAGATTTATCTGGCCAAACGCTCTCTTGAGGCGTAGCATTGTGTAATACAATGTTCCCGACGGTTATTTGGACCTGTTCAACCATGAAGCCTTCGTGGTCTAGTGGTTATGACGCTCGCCTTGTCAGCGAGAAGTCGCAGGTTCGATTCCCGTCGGAGGCATTTTATTACACAATGACTTTTATAGGACTTCATTCGTTGAAAGCTACGATGTAGCCTACGATGTTCCATCATGTCCTTATGTAAAACACTGTATATGTACCTTTGATGATTTATATTATATTATATATATATATATATATATACATATATATATGCTGGTGCTGTATCGATATATTAATATGTAACATTAATAATATTTTCTAATTTTATTATTAATTATTATTGTTATTTTATGATCTATATGGCCATTATCCGAATAACACTAAATTAACTAATATTTTTGTTTACGTTTTTATGACAATCTGTTGCTTTTAAGGTAAGAAAAAAAGACTAAGTAACAAATATTTCTGGCTATGTTAAAATAAATGCAAAAGTGTATAAAGTTGAATCATTATTTGATCGACCGACTGTACTTAAAAGCAAATATGTTAGTCGAGGGATCGTGTATAATTAATCTAATGTTTAATATATCTAACTTTTGATACAGATACGGAAAAACCTAAATTAAGTTGTCCAAAGGACGAGACTGTGAATACTGATGAGGGTAGTGCCACGGCGTCAGTTGACTATTCAAGTAAAATAAATGCAAGTGACAACTCCGGGAATACCTCTACAATCATACCTTATCCCAATGAAACATTTCCTGTTGATATTGGAATTGGAGTACATACATTCACTTTTACGGCTACGGACTCGTCAGGAAACAATGGTACTTGTAGGTTTACTATAACTGTCCAAGGTTAGTCATTACGCATATTTTACGATGTACAACGTACTTTTTTTAAGTTGATTAGTGTTAGATTTTCCTGCAAATAAAGACGCTGCCAATTAAAGACCAACTCTCTGTAGTCCCAAGATTAGCAACATTTAATGTTTTTTATCTTTATTTTTATAATCAGAGCCTAAAAGCTACTAAAGTCCATTGAAACTCCGGCACCAAAAGGGGTCTTTCAAATTTAAAGACCACTTTTACTTGTTACTAGTAGCAGTAGTAGCAGTAGTAGCAGTAGTAGCAGTAGTAGTAGTAGTAGTAGTAGTAGTAGTAGTAGTAGTAGTAGTAGTAGCAGTAGCAGTAGCAGTAGCAGTAGCAGTAGCAGTAGCAGTAGCAGTAGCAGTAGCAGTAGCAGTAGCAGCAGCAGCAGCAGAAGTAGTAGTGTAGTTGTAGTAGTAGTATTGTAGTTGTAGTAGTAGTAGTAGTAGCAGTAGTAAGTAGTAGTGTAGTTGTAGTAGTTGTAGTAGTAGTAGTAGTAGTAGCAGTAGCAGTAGCAGTAGCAGTAGTAGTGTAGTTGTAGTAGTAGTAGTAGTAGCAGTAGCAGTAGTAGTAGTAGTAGTCGCCGTAGCAGTAAATTTAATCAGAAGGAAAAGAGAAAGCATTAGTTTACACTACATTATTTAAAATATATGTAGAATTTAATAGTATATGTTTATCAAATAATTTCATTTGTTGATAATCGACTGCCTGAACTTAAATTAAAACCAGATACATTTAGTAAAACAATCGCGTTATAATTATTGGTTATAAATAAACCTTTTCTACAGATACAGAAAAGCCTACAATAAACTGTCCACCGGACGAGACCATTTACACTGATGAGGGTAGTGCCACGGCGTTAGTTGACTATTCAAGTAAAATAAATGCAACTGACAACTCCAGGAATATCACTACAATCTCTCCTAATCCCTATGAAACAATTCCTGATGATCTTGGAATTGGAGCACATACATTCACTTTTACGGCTACGGACTCGTCAGGGAACAATGGTACTTGTACGTTTACTATAACTGTCCAAGGTTAGTCATTACGCATATTTTACGATGTAAAGTACCTTTTTAAAATTGAATATTGTTAGATTTTCCTACAATTAAAGACGCTGCCAATTAAAGACCAACTCTCTGTGGTCCAAGATTAGCAACATTTAATGTTTTTTAACTTTATTTTTATAATCAGAGCCTAAAAGCTACTAAAGTCCGTTGAAACCCCGGCACTAAAAGGGGTCTTTCAAATTTAAAGACCACTTGTACTAGTTATAAGTAGTAGTAGTAGTAGTAGTAGTAGTATTAGTAGTAGTGGTTGTGGTAGTGGTTGTGGTAGTGGTAGTGGTAGTGGTAATGATGGTAGTAGTAGTAGTAGTAGCAGTAGCAGTAGCAGCAGCAGCAGTAGTAGTAGCAGTAGTAGTAGCAGCAGTAGTAGTAGCAGTAGTAGTGTAGTTGTAGTAGTGGTATTGTAGTTGTAGTAGTAGTAGTAGCAGTAGCAGTAGCAGTAGTAAGTAGTAGTAGCAGTAGCAGTAGTAGTGTAGTTGTAGTAGTAGCAGTAGCAGTAGCAGTAGTAGTAGTAGTCGCCGTAGCAGTAAATTTAATCAGAAGGAAAAGAGAAAGCATTAGTTTACACTACATTATTTAAAATATATGTAGAATTTAATAGTATATGTTTATTAAATAATTTCATTTGTTGATAATCGACATTAACATTTACAAAATAAAATCTAAAACAGACATGTATTTTTACTAAAAATGGTTGGGCCATAGTGCACACGTAAAATCGGTAAAATTTAAAGCATATGCCAATTTTGAGAACCGAGCACGACGACGGTGCCGATGCATGAAGGACCATCATATATCTCGCTCTACGACCCGATCTAGAACTAGTCAATTTATTACTACTGTACAACTCGTGGTTGCCGGAATCAAAAGTCATATACATCACCACATTGTATATTGGACAATGAATAAAAACAGGCTTCACTCTGGTCTAGCCAACGTTTTAAAGCCGGTACATAGACATAGGCTCCATTTATGCCAACCATAAACAAAATATTTATCTTTTTTCTCGAATTCCATAAAGGACTGTCTCTTATCCACATCTAGATGTGTATAAGAGACAGGGTAAGTCATGATACTTATGTTAATATAGTATCATTAAGTAGAAAATGTGGTGGTGGTGGTGGTGGTAGTAGTAGAAAATGTGGTGGTGGTGGTAATGGTGGTAGTTGCAGTAGTTGTATAGTAGTAGTAGTAGTAGCAGTAGCAGTAGCAGTAGTAGTAGTAGCAGTAGCTGCAGTAGTAGTAGTAGCTGCAGTAGTAGCTGCAGTAGTAGTAGTAGCTGCAGTAGTAGCTGCAGTAGTAGTAGTAGTAGTAGCTGCAGTAGTAGCTGCAGTAGTAGTAGTAGCTGCAGTAGTAGTAGTAGCTGCAGTAGTAGTACAATGGTAATGGGAGTGGCAGTATTGTATTAATCAGAAGAAAGCAAATAATAACAGATAGTTGACAATGCATTATTTTAAATAGATGTGGAATTTAACAGTATGTTTAACAAGTAATTTAATTAGTTGATCGGCCAAATAAACTTAAATATAGAAAACAATAAAAAACAAAAAAAAGTAAAAAAAAATCGCGTAATAATTAATGATTGAATTGTATTAAACTTTTGCTACAGATACAGAAAAGCCTACTGTAAACTGTCCACCGGACGAGACCATTGATACTGATGAGGGTAGTGCCACGGCGTCAGTTGACTATTCAAGTAAAATAAATGCAAGTGACAACTCCGGGAATATCACTGCAATTTCTCCTAATCCCAATGAATCAATACCTGATGATCTTGCAATTGGAGCACACACATTCAATTTCACGGCTACAGACCCATCAGGGAATAATGGTTCTTGTACGTTTACTATAAGTGTCCAAGGTTAGTGATTCGATTTAACGTATCTCTTTAAAATTGAATAGATTAAGATTGACTTATTTTTTTGGTAATCAATTATGTAAATAATTTCATTATTTTTAAATAAATAATATATATTTGAAAAACATTCAAGTGGTGCTAGTGGTGGTGGTATATTGAACCAGAAAAAAAGAAAACATAGTTTATACTTAATTATTTAAAATAGATATGGAATTTAACAGTATGTTTTTAATAAATAATTTCATTCGTTGATCGACCAACTGAGCTTTTATAGAATAACTATACATTAGTAAAACGATCGCATAATAATTATTTGCTTAAATTGTATCTAACTTTTGCTACAGATACAGAAAAGCCTACTTTAAACTGTCCACCGGACGAGACCATTGACACTGATGAGGGTAGTGCCACGGCGTCAGTTGACTATTCAAGTAAAATACATGCAAGTGACAACTCCGGGAATATCACTGCAATTTCTCCTAATCCCAATGAATCAATACCTGATGATCTTGCAATTGGAGCACACACATTCAATTTCACGGCTACAGACTCATCAGGGAATAATGGTTCTTGTACGTTTACTATAACTGTACAAGGTTAGTGTTTCGATTTAACGTATCTCTTTAAAATTGAATAGATTAAGATTGACTTATTTTTTTGTAATCAATTATGTAATTAATTTCATTATTTTAAAATAAATAATATATATTTGAAAAACATTCAAGTGGTGCTAGTGGTGGTGGTATATTAAACCAGAAGAAAAGAAAACATAGTTCATACTTAATTATTTAAAATAGATATGGAATTTAACAGTATGTTTTTAATAAATAGTTTCATTCGTTGATCGACCAACTGAGCTTTTATAAAATAACTATACCTTAGTAAAACGATCGCATAATAATTATTTGCTTAAATTGTATTTAACTTTTGCTACAGATAGAGAAAATCCTACTGTAAACTGTCCACCGGACGAGACCATTGACACTGATGAGGGTAGTGCCACGGTGTCAGTTGACTATTCAAGTAAGATATATGCAACTGACAACTCCGGGGATATCCCTACCATCTCTCCTAAACCCAATGAAACATTTCCTGATGATCTTGGAATTGGGCCACACAAGTTCAATTTTACCGCTACGGACTTGTCAGGGAATTATGATAATTGTACGTTTACTATCCAAGGTTAGTGATTACGCATATTTTACGATTAAATCTATCACATTAAAATGTAAAAGTGTTAGATTAAAAATTAATTTTTCCTTATCATGAAATTTGTAATACGATGGAAATAATAACGATACCAACTGCTGCGACTGTGGCTTTGATGCCACAGTCACAGTAATAATGTCGTCATCATTATCATCCTATCACAGTGGTCGACATCGTCGATTTATGAAAAGCCTGACATCTTTATTACTATAAATAATGTAATTACTATTAATTACATTAATTATAGTAATGCATGTAATGTAAATACTATTGTTACTATTATAATAATTCTTATATTATCTATTATTTTTCTATTATTACTATTATCATGAACATTAAAATTGCATTTACCATTCCCATTACCATTACAATCACTATTACCATTGCTATCTATTAGACTTGGAAAAACATTTTTAAAAAGAGGCCTAGAAATCAAGTTGGGTGGAGTGGAATGTTAGAAACAGTCAACGTAGCCATATATCCTAATTAATCCCTCCTGGTCACCTTAAGCCCTGTTGACACTTGATTTTTCACCTTGTATACAAATGGCGGCCGTTTTTTTTAAATGGCCTCCAAATTTAGCTAATATGTCCTTAAAATTGGAGCTACAGATATGATTTTGGTGTCTAAACAATGTCTAGACAAGCAACAAACTAGACATATAAAAACTATTGTCACTCAAACCAGAATAGGACATAATTCATAAATAGGTGTTATTTGTTTTAAAATAACCGCAAAATATACCTAAAATGTACGGTATATAGAATAAGAATAAACATATGTAACAAGCCCATAAGGGACCCATATGGTGCCCATATGCAGATCTATATGGGTACCATATGTGCAATCCTTGAGGAAACCTCCGGATTCTGCACCCAAGTTCCATGTGGGACCCATATGATTTAGCCCACATAGCCCAGATATAACCCATTTGGGGCCCACATGGAACCCACAATTATTTGTATGTGGGTGGCATATAGGTTTCCCATATGGGACCTATATTTTCTGACCCATATGGGTACC